AGCTCACTATCTCTTTTCTCATTGGCCGAAAGCGTACAGTGAATTTTCAAAGTACAGCTGCAGACTATACAATAATCATGTCAAGGACACTCAAGTCCACGGTCATGTTTGACCACGGTGCATGATTTCTAAGGGTAGTCATGTCAAGTTTGTGGGCTTTGTGTTGTTTGCTGTCAGTGAAGAAGCAAAAACAAGACTTCCATGTTTTTTTGTTCAATGTATAATAAAACAATTATTAGATTCTTATATTGTGATATCCAGTCTTGGTAAGGGTTCCTCAGCCTTTGGCTTTGGCTGATAACCCCTGCCTCGACCTTGATTATTCTGGATATCACAAAAAACTCATCAAATAATTGTTTATAATCACTCATACCACAGAAGTGAAATTGTGGGGTCAAATCATGCCTGTAGCATCCTTGGGTTAGTCCGCCTCTTTGACAAAATTTGTTTTGCTCCAAGATATACTTAACTCTGTTATCAAATAATCACTAACAAAAAAAAATTAAAAAATCACTTGCTGTTCAGACAGCCTGATGAAAATAAACTTGCTTGTCCAAAACCCAAAAAGTGCTTGTTCAAGCAAAGCACACAAAGTTTGACTTTAAATTCTCATTAGCTCTTACATCCATTTTATCACCACTCGAGTCTATGCTTTGTTTTGGAAAAAAAAAGGATAAACATAATGTATATTGTACTCTTGTGAGGCTCAGCCACATCTTAAATTTCAGACCAGGAAACCTATAGATTGACACAAGTGTCAAGAGTCCATGTTGCCAAATTAGTTCAAAAGCACGGCTGATCATGAAGAATGGTAAAATATAAAATTTGTCAGACTATTTAAATGTTTCTTTCCCCAGCTTGAAGCTAGGACTGACAAGCTTGACAGTGAACTTAAAGAAAAGAACAAGGTTTGTAGAATTCGATTGTGTCTCCAGGTTCATGGTTTCTCTACTTCCTTGGTAAGTTTTCACTCTGCATTATTCTTCAGGAATTGAGTGATCAACAAGAACAAATAGCAGATCTAATGCGTCACCTGGAGACACAACAAGCAATAGCGAGCGCACCTGATGAGACGAGACGGGTGAGCAGACGTTTTTCCTTCTAATAATAACAGTCGAAACGCTGGTCATGGACACCTCATTTCACTGGGTCCTGGGATGACCACGTTCATATAAGCTGTGTCTGTAACACAATTCCATGGTTTTGGAGTGTTCAAAATTGGCGAAACCCCTACCTGTAGTACTTAATATTATACATGTACAAAAGCAACATAGTGAAAGCTTCACGTACTTTGAACCTTATTTTACAGGAGTTGCAAGATGGCAAGGTCTTTCTGGTGCACCAACCAAAAAAAACTGGACGGAAAAAAAGTCGGAAACGATAGACGAGAAGGAAAATTAAGGCCTCTCCTTAATATTTTGAGGCTCAATCTGTTAAGAGCTTTTTTACTGTTGTAATCGTTATTCTTTGGGTGTTTGTAGATGTCACTAAGTTAATTTCGTTGTACAGTGAAACCTGTATTAGGCAGACACCCTTAGGACCCTTACTAGTGTCCGCTTTATACAGGGTGTCCGCTCTAAACAGGTTCTCATATATTGATCAGTGATAGGTAACTATTAACCCCTTTGTAACTCAGTGTAACACAGTGTAAGATCAAAGACTGCTCATAGCAGTCTCATGGCAGGCTCAAAAGACTTTTTGAAAAAGATTCGGCAAACTGATTTTCATGTTTAATACACTTTGATTATATTTTATCGATTTTAGCTCTTTTTTTTTTTAAGTGATTTTTAAATTAGCTTGATGTAAATACCTTTTTTTTTAACGCTTTTATAATGTTGTACATTACTTAATTTAAATCGTGGAACACCTGGAAACTAGCGAACAGCTAAYTGTGTACTTGTCCACGTTAAATAAAGTATGTCTATGTCTATGTCTATAGCACAATGTCCAGTCAGTCAATGCATCAATCTGGAATAATCTACTTAGCTTTAAAACGACATCGTTGAACAATGTTAAAGGAGTCTGAGTTGAACCTTCAGAAGTAAAAAGCACTTGAAGTGTCCGGTTATTGCAGGTTTTGTGCAACAAAATGGCTTAACATTGGTGTCCGCGTCCGCTTAACAGAGGTGTCCGCTGAATGCAGGTTTATTTTACAGTAAATGTAGAAAGAAAATTTTGGGACTCAAGCTGGTGTCCACTTATAGAGGGTGTCCGCTCAATGCAGGTTTCATTGTAAACTGGTAGCTACTGGTCAAAGATGGGTCCGAATTTTCCAACACAGTCCGTTGTGATGGACCGCTCACGAATTAGTTTCGGCGAATTTCTTTCGTTTCACTAAAGAAGAGTAGTTTGTTGTTAAAAAGTAGAAACCATTTTTCCTTGATTTGAGTTTAACTTTCACAAATGAAAAACTGATCCCCTGCTAGTGTAGGGCGGATCAGTTAGTATCAGATTACATATATTACTTATATTAGATTACTTAAATAATTCATAACAAACAAAGAAGATAGAAAATATTAACATTACTTTTAAATTAGTTCTACGCTAGATAACTAAACAAATAATTTAAGAATTTAAAATTAACCATACAAGAGCCATACAAGACATATCAGAAGATGCCCTCACAAGTTAATCGAGGAAAGGATCGCGGGGCTGCATTAATTCCCTAACTTAACTTTATAAGAACAAATATATATTAACTGGTAAATAACTCATTGAAATAGCCTGTTTCGTTCGTGTCTAGGATATGTGTTGTATGTGATCACGATTAAGCAGTGTAGTATACTATGTATGGCCCGTGCAAACTACGCCGGAGGAATTTAAAAACTCAGCTTTATTTCTACGGTTAGGCCTACCGTCTACACTAATCCGTCACGAAAAAAGAGCTTTTCGGAAAGACTCCTCGAGGAGTTTTGGGTTTCGGTGTTGGTGGTAAACCTTTTTGGAAACGGAGCTTTTCAAAAACGATGACGTCACGACAATCACGTGATTTCCCTGACGGAGTCTTCCTCAAACACAAATCCAAAATGACCGGCGATAGTTGCGTTTTCAAATATCTCTAGCGTAGTGTGATGGATTCGCAGCGTGGAAACGCCGTTTTCAATTTTTTTCGGGCGCGTAGTGTAGACGGGGCTTAAGTGTACGTAAATAGGAGTAAAGTATGCTATTTTTTTATGTATGCATGTAAAGGTGTCTTTTTTTAAATGCCTTTTAAAACAATTACACCCAACGCGTGTATTATTGTGGCCATCTACGCACGCGCGGTGTAGCCACAGTAGGATTATTTTTTTTGGTCCGCTATTTTCAACAGGATTTTGTTTGCTATAAATGAAAAATATTTAAGCTCTCTAAAAATCAGCATTTATCGCTGTGTTCACGTAATAAAATAAAGAAATGTCTGTTTAGTTTTTGTTGTTCTAGATTTAGAGGGTGAGAGAACAGTTTTTAGGAATTTAATCTTCTGGAATATGTTAATTCACATAACACATTCAATTTCAAGACAAAAAAAAATTCAGTTCGTTTTCAGTGATCCGTGGTCTCGCTCCTCGATCCAAAGTACAGTCTGACCAAATTTGAGCCCGATGAGTTAGTAGATTTTCCTTTCAAAACTAGTTTGAATATCAAATTAGATCGTAAGTCGCTTATCCTCCTACGAGTCAACAATTTTATGCTTTTCCACCAAAATTTGAGAACGTCTGTTAAAATTACTACCTGTACCCTGTTTGAAAACGCATGCTTTTTGATGCGTTCTCGCCCACACTTCAACGATCGGAAAACGCATATTTTTTCCATCCACAACGCATAGTTATCTGCGTTTTCGAGACTCTTGCGAGCAAAGGCGGCCCAGACGTTGAATACGATTAATACGTGACATTATGCTGTTGGCGGTTGCGTTACAATTCTGGCCGTTTATAAGACAATGTATGAGAATGCTTCGAAAATTACTCTAAATGCAACGTGTAGCAAATAATTTGAATAAGATGGCTTACCTTAATACCGCAATGCAAACATAAGGTGAGTCATTTTATTCAAATTAGTTTCTACACGTAGCATTTAGAGTAATTTTCGAAGCATTCTCATACATTTGTCGAAAATTGTAACGCAATCGCCAACAGCATAATGTCACGTATTGCATCGTATTCAACGTCTGGGCGGCCTGTGCTGCGAGCGGCTGTGGACGAGGTAAACGATGCAATAACGGTAGTGTAGAAACGATTCTTTGAAACGTTTATCATTGATCTACGGGCTGGGATGGATCATGTTTAAAACGTGCCTAAATTTGATCGAGTAGAAGTGCATTACTAGCAGTAATGAGTTCGGAGGTTTGAGTTACGGACTGAAAGCACACGATGCTCGAATGTCCCATTATGTAACCTCGAAGTAAAATTTTTAAAACGTGGTGGTCGACATTGACGTACACTGATCATGTGTGCATGCCGTATTGTATAACGAATGCTAACGTTGACACACTCCACATTTAACACATTGTCGTGCAAAACCCCCTTCCCCCGCAAGATTAATTAATTTATTAATATTAATTATTAGTATAAACCACACAAGTTAATACTGCTTTCCGCGCACTATTCACCTCCACTTCGGTGAGTAATCGTATCTATAACAAAATTCTCGATCGTGATTGGTTCTCCGCGCGCTTATTTGTCATGTAATCGGCGCGTGGGTGTCCAATTACAGGTATTCAATTTGAACTTTTTGTAATTGGATACCCACGTGATTTTCACGTCAATTACGCGCGCTTTCATGGCTTCCTTCGCGATGTTTCCTGCAGTTTTCGAAACTTATGAAAAGCGCTACAGACGTTTTCGGTCAAAAGAACTTCCCAAAAGACATTTTTAATTCCGAAATTTGTTATAGATACGATTAATTAGTAACTGGACCTCATGTCGTACAATTCATAATGGTAATTGAACTGAGTGGAGTGCAATTTGGTCTGAAATCATACGCGTGATTTCAAAATCGAACGAGCGCGTAGCGCGAGTTCG